ATTTGGAAATTTGTGACCAACAGATTTTCTTAATTTGTGATCAATTAAAAATCAGTGACCTATTAATTTTTTCAATTGTGACCTTAAAATAATCCGTAATCAATTAATTTGATAAGTTGTGATCGAAAATTAAATTTTTAACTATATCTGTGGCATAATAATTGGAGCAATTATCGGAATTAAACAGTGAGCAACGGTAACCGGAAAATAGTCGCGGGAATTTAGCGCGGCCAGAGAACTGTCGACGGTCGCCGAAGAGTCGTCGGAGCAGTGGAGGTGGAGGGGAGGTAGGGTAGAATGGGTCGGTGGGGTGGGTCAATTATATAAATATTATATTACAGTTAAATATTTAATTTAATAGATTAATTGTAAAAATATAATTAATTAATTCGTGGAAAAACCTGAGTTTTGTAAATTTAAATTTTCGGGCCTAATTTTTGATTTCGTGAAAAATAATCCCTGACCTATGAATTTTTCCATTAATTTTTTGGTCCTATTATTAATTTCATTTTTAACCCAAGATTTAAATCTTTTGAAGTTTTTATTATTCTATTTCCAATTTTACACTTTCAATCGGATCAGATTATCGGATATGGATCGGATCTGCCTATATCCAATCTGATCCGATAAGAAAATTATCCGTTCCGATCCGATCCGATAATCCAACGGATATTTGATAATTAAATCCACATTCGATTTGTTATGTTATCAGATATCCGATCGGATATGGGTCAAATCTGCCTATATCCGATCGGGGCGTGATTGTGTAAATTGCAAAATTGGTTTTCGTGTCAAATCAGCAAGGCTTAGCGGATTAATTTCTTAAATGCAATGCATATGCTTCAATTATCCAATTTGTCCTTATATTAAAACTGTGTGCTAATGTGAATCAAAGGACGTTTGATCATTCAATAAAGACGATGGGAAATTGATTAATGTAGTAGGTGGGGTGTTGTGTTGTGTGTACATCCATGATTTGAAGGGCAAAGATTAGGGTTGTAAATGAATTGGATTTTAATCTGAATTCGACTAAATTAATGGGAGATGGATTTAAGGTCTTAATTCGATAATCCGATCAAAATTCGAATCTGATAATCCGTTAACTAAATGGATCAAATAAGGATATAGGTCAATCCGATTGGATAACAATCCGATCCGATTTGTTATAAATAATTAAGTCGGTAAAATACTTTTATGGCATATTATTTGTCACTAAAATAAATAAATTTAGGATAAAAAAGTAATCAAAATCAAAACATAAAAATATTGAAAATTTTATAATTATTAAAAAAAAAAGTTGATTTCAACCAATATTTTAGAAACTGACCCGAGCATCGACTCAAAAAAGGAAGATGATCAAGGGTCAAAACATCAAATTGGGGTCGAATAGGTATCGAACCGGTTGCAAATTGAATAAATAACTATACACATAAATGTAAAAATGTTATAAAAATAATA